AACCATTTCAGACAAGCTCTAGTACATGTAGTCATGATGAAGTACCTTCAGTCAGAACACTGCATTCAAGGTACAGCATGAACACCATTTTCAGTACAAGTCAAGGCGGAATGTACATATCACTACTTTATGACAATAACTATCAAAACACACTGTGTGTGCAAGCAAATTATCCGAATCAGAAAATGGAAAAAAAAATAAGAAAATTTTCTTCACCTCGAAAGTGGACTTCGGCCGAGGAGCTTCCTCTGCTTTTGTTGCAGTTTTGTTGATTTCAATGCGGACAAAGCAACCGAACTGACTTGTCGCCTGACCGATTTTTAGGGCACCATACACCTCCACTCCTTTCCCATTTCTCTCATCGTTGCAGAAGAAACGCGGGACAGCCACTCTGGACAATATGTCCTTAAAGTTGTCTGGGCAAAACTACCTTGCTGCTACCAATCTCTCGTATAGCTGTGTAAATGTCACATCTCCCTGGCCGACGTCAATTGCATACCAGTCTACAACAATCCCTCCGTTTTTCCTCTGAACTTTTATGCTTTTATACGTATTTTGGTAGCGTGGTCGCCATGTTGGAATCATTTACAACAAAATTCGCACGTTTTGAGGTAGTCCAAAACGAGTTTTACGACAAGCCGGCGCTTTGTGACAATATGAGTCGGCAAGTTCCGGACAGAAAACGGATCTGTGGAGACTCGTCGTCGGATATTTTTTTTTTTTTTTTTTGAACAGGCAAAAACTAATGCGCGCACAGATGTCATCCATGAAATTAAGTCGGTGTGGCCTTATTAAAAAAAAAACAGCATGATTATCAAAAAATCCATTTTTATAAAATGAAACTTAAAAAATGGTTGATTGTTAGCCAGACAATACTCTCAATGCAACAAAGGCATTCTCTTTCTTTATAATTACATGTAATTATAAGTTTCTATTGGCCAATTTAATAACAATGGAACATTTTCAAATGACATCTTTGATCACTGTGCTGGTTTGGTTTGATTCAACTGCCATCAAAATGATAAATATTTATACAGAGGCCGGACTTTTATTATCCCTTGTTTTGCGAACCCGCCGAATGAAAAGGATCCGAAACTGTCGTCAAAAACCGTGAAATCCCTCATTAATGCTGAAAATTGTGCCCCAATTGGTGACATTGCCAACCAGGTTATACATGGAATAAAAATTTATTTCATTTCTTCTCTCCGATAAATGATCTCACTTACAATTATTTAAGAATCACACAAATCTAATGGAAAAAAAAAAGAATTCATTTATTTTTTTTTCCACCCTCCTCAAAAAAATGGACAAGGACTAAAAAAAGTCTGGCCTGAGGGTGAAAAAAAATATGTCGGGTTATTGAACTCAATGTTACAAACAGTAAAATTGGAAATATGCCAGCATACATTCAACATCACAATATAGTTGCAGCTTGTGTTAAAATAACTATACTGACAAAGACTGTTTTTCCCTTTTCAAAGTTTTACAGCCAATGCAATTTTTTTCTTACAGCAATTGGTTATAGGTTAGGATTCTTTACTTCAAAGGTGAAATGCCTGTTACAGAATGAGTGAAAGATCTTTGTGACACACAGCACATG